GTAAGGTATCCTACATCAATCCTAATGAGTAGGATATCATCCACATACAATACTAAGAAGGCTACAGTATTGTTGATGATCTTCTTATATACACAAGGTTCATCAATGTTTTGGTCAAAACCATAAGATTTGATTGCAGTATCAAACCTTATGTTCCAAGATCGAGATGCTTGTTTCAATCCATATATGGACCGTTTAAGCTTTCAAACATTTTGCTCTTGACCTTGTGCTATGAACCCTTCGGGTTGAGACATATAAATACTTTATTCAAGATTGCCATTCAGAAAGGCAGTCTTGACGTCCATTTGCCAAGTCTCATAGTCATAATATATGGCAATAGACAAAAGTATTCTTATGGACTTGAACATAGCTACAAAGAAGAATGTTTCTTCATAGTCCACCCCTTTCCTTTGTGTGTAGCCTTCCGCCACAAGCCTTGCCTTATAGGTCTGTACCTTTCCTTCAGCGTCTCATTTTCTCTTATAGATCCATTTGTACCATATGGGTTTCACCTCTTCGGGTTGATCCACAAGTTCCCAAACGGAATTGAAGTACCTAGACTTCATTTCTAGGTCCATGGCTTTGACCCATTTGTCCTTGTCAGCATCTTCCATTGCCTGTTTGTAGGTCAATAGATCCTCGACGCTGTCATTGGGTATGACAACTTGGGTTTCAATTAAACCCACGTAGCGATCAGGTTGTGATACAATTCTCCCACTACGTCGAGGCACCGTCAATTCTTGAGGTGGATGTGACTGACGTGATGTGCTAGCTTCATCAACAACTCTTGTTGAAGTGTCAGCTTGATCAATAACTCTTGTTGATGTGTTTGTAGCATCTTCGAAAATAGAATCATATTCTAACGCATTTCTCTCGTATAATCTATAGTTGTAATATACATCTTATGCAGATTATTTTTAACCAGTAGTTTTAATATGAATCTTATTCATATTAAATATTTGAATCTTATTCAAATATTTCTCTCATAATATATAGTATTAATTTTGAATCTTTATCCAAAATTAATATATATTTATATACAATGTATCAATATACATTATATACATTCTCTTATATAATTTGAACACTTCAAATTGTTTCATAATTCTTGATCCTTGTTTTACCCGTTGTGAGTTAGCAAAGGGACTTAATGGACCTATAGGTCAGAAGCTCCAACGATACAAGATCAATCAGTCAAACTCATTAACCGAATTAATCAACACTCATTAACTATGGGTCACTCCACTAAAGACTTGCAGCTGCACTCTTCTCACAGCATAATATTTTCGTGTCCACGGATATACAACCATTAATGGCAAGTCAATCCTTCACGAGTGTTCGTAACTCAACTTGGTCAAATTACCATTTTACCCCTGAGTTACATCTTACTCCTTAAATACCACAACTCTTCTAATGAACAACCCGGTTATAGTCCGACCAATAACCGGAAGTCCCTCTCGGGCCAGTGAGAGGGTGGGACCCCTTGTTCAAGTCTCGGAGTCAGCATTTAAGAGAACACTAATCTACCCCTAAAGTCGGGGAGGAGTGAATTCCATCTTATGAAGTTATGTTTCCAACTCCCAACTCGGTCTCGTCCCCAAAATGGTAGGAATGTTGAGTCGGCGACTCGAGCCACTCTCACTCATACAGATCAAGACGAGCCCTCACGGGTAAAAGTCCATAACTCACTCAGGATTAAAAATAAGTTGTCTGGTCATCCTATGAAATAGCAATCTGTTAGTCAACGGTGCTACATCTAAAGATTGGCTATTTCGCGGTCTGGTCTTATACAAACTCATTGTATAGAATACCCACTCGCATGTCTCTAGACGAACGACCTGGATTGGGTCGTCTGTAACATTTACAAAGTGGGTCATAGCCATAGTGTTGCCAGGATAAGGTACCCAGCCTTATCCATATATTATAGACCCTTTTGGTTATTCTTGGGACATTATCCACATGTATATCAAGGGTATATCAAATATATACCCAGTATATATACTGTCTCGGTTACATGAAAATAAGCTTGGGTGTTTAGTTTAATGGATTCGGACAATGCAATATCAACAACAAATTGATTGAATTAAGAAAAAAAAACTTTATTGAATATAAATTTATTTTTACATAATTACAAACTACGAGTTTATCAAATATATACCCAAAGATAAGTCTAAAAAAATGAATGAGGAGTATTGTTACTGTTACTGTACTGAATCGGACCGGTGGACTGAACCGAACCAAACAGTAGTGAACCAGACCGTTAAAACCTGAACCAGACCATTTAATTGAACTGGATAGTCGCAAAATTGAACCGTACAAATAGATCACCAAATATTGAACCCTAGCAGGTCGCCAAATCATTGAATTACTCAAACGGTGACTAACGAAAACAAACGAAGATGATTAGTGCAGCGAACAACGACTAGTAACCTCAGACCATAAGCGGCGAATGACAACCAAAAAAACATGAAACGGTGACCACGAGCGGCGAACGGCAACCAGCAGCCTCTAACGGAAAAAAAAAAAACGAAGCGGCGGCTGACCAGTAAAGACCAACAGTGTGCGACCGACGACCAAACGGATGGACGGTAGTGACACAAAGGTGGTCGTAGGCGAGCCGACAATCAGTCGGATGAACAAGAAACACGCCTGTTTTGAAATCTCCTACCAAATAGGTGAGTGATTAGCAAAGAAGAACACTAACACGACAAATCGACAGTGACTAGAGGTGACGAAAACTGTAGCAACACCTTTCTTCCCAGCGGCAACAACGAACAAAGAAACCTTAGTAAATCACCTAAGGCTCTGATATCATGTAAAAATTTGGAATGTTTCCTTGCTCTTTCTCATTGATTCAAAGATGATATATACAAAAATTGTCTAATACCCAATAAGGAAACTAAAACACAAAAGTAATATATAACAAATACAATAATAGACAATTATAAACAATAGAATATCGTATCAGGAACGTTACCAAATAAGTCATTGATGTCACCTGCAAAAATTTTCAAGCACAAAACATCTCCTCCATTAGCCCCACAAAAAGGAATGGAATGTTGCTACTAATTGTTTGGCCAAGCTTTGTTGTATTTCTAAATTTGGAGGCTATTTCGCTTGAAGATTGGCCTCCCAACTATCTCAGACTCTGCCATTTCTTTTTCTTAATTCTACTGTCCCTTTCAAAATATATATACATACATGCATATATATGCATGTATATATACACATTCATATATGTATGTAAATACACATACATGTATATATATGTACACATATTATATGTATGTACATATCTATGTATGTATATGTACATATGTATGTATGTACATATATGTATATGTATATATATGTATGTATATTTGCATTAAATTTGTACACATTTACGGTAGAGGAATGGTACATAATAGGTTCTAAATTTTATCAAATATTCCTTTAAGTAGTATATGATCTTGTATACTATCAATATAATTTTCAAAAAGATCTTTTTATTTTGATTTTTATGATTTTTTAAATATATCTATTGCTTGATCCACAAATTGAAGCTTATAAATGATAGCTCCACGTAAATGTGACAAAGAGGCAGAAGGATTACACAATTTCTTGCTCAATAATTTAAAAGTGGCCAAACCATGTGATAGTCATTTACATTCATTGTGATAGTGTTAAGCTATAATAGACCAACCTAGTTCAGTAGATAAGATATCTTGTTCATTTTTTAGAGACAAGTTCAATCCCTAATCTGCACATTTGTTGTACTAGAAAAAAAGGTTAATAAAATTATAAGTCAATAAAATAGACACCCAACTTAGTTGATTGAAGGTCTCAAGATTTAGGTTCAAAGGGACAATCTAATTGTAAATACGAAACTTGTCAAGCTTATCTATGAGTCTATGACCATTCATAAGATGGAAACTTTGATATCACCAGAAAAGAAGTTAAACCATATTGTTTATGCAGGATTTGCACAACGGTTCTGCACGAATCGAGCTCAAACCCGGTCTCCGATTCCAACCTAAACACTAGAGTGGAACTGCACAAGAGGGTAAGCACTCTGACACTCAAGTCAGTATAGATCGGACTCCTTATTTAGTTCGAGGTGAGATTCGATACCTGAGCGTGAAATGAAGTCCTCTATTTATAGGTAATGGATCCGACAGTACACACGACCGACGGTTATATGTCTTTTTTTTCATATCGGACCTGTCGGGTTCCGAACAGATCGGACCCCAGTCAGGTCGAACCTTGGTGCCTATAGTTTTTATAACGGCAAACCCGGCCACCTCGGCAGAGCCGAGGTGGACCTAATCAATCCTTATTTGGTTTCTTCAACACTAATAAGGGTCCTCCACGTGTCTCGGGTATGTTTACCCCCAAACACATATTTTTAATAATTTCTTATTTGTTGATGTACCAAACGAAGTAATGGAAGTTGCTCTTAAATAAGAAATAATCGAGTGGGAGAGAAGTGAGCTTATTTTACAACAGAATTATATTATGCCCAATTACTTGGAAACTTTCAAATTTAGAGGAAATGTCCAATACGAAATGAACACTACAATGGAAATTGAATTTATACTTTTTACTGGAACCATTAATTTTTAGGATCATAATAGGTAAATTAAGAGGAAATGGGTTCAAACTCCGTGATGACCACCTAAGTTAAGAATTAATTCTGATGTGTTTTTCAACACCAAATATTGTAACGTCATACGATTGCTCGTGAGACTAGTCAAGGTATGCGCAAGTTGACTCAGACGCCCACAAAGTTAAAATATATATATATATATTATGCTGCTAATGAAAACTGAAGTGTGATATAAAGATTGGATATTATAAAATAGGAATGTCCCCCCGCCCTATATGAAACATAGCTCTAGTTACTTTATTGACACTAATTAAGAATAATTAGAAAAAATGTGTAAGATTTTTAGATGCACGTGCTAGTTAATTACACGACAAAATCCAGGACTCCAATTTTCTGCCGTGACGAGCAATTTTTGGAAAAGGAAGATATGAAGTAAAATGTGCGGGAAAAATATGTGGTTACGGCCTTTTCCCTGAGCTTCTGATGTTCTTTTCTTCTGCTTCTCAATCACTGGGCTTTGATTTGTTCATCTGATGCACAAACTCGACTTTGATTTCCACTGACTGCTCGTAGAGAAAATTCGAGTTCCAGAAAATGGCCCAATTCACCACACTCAATCGTGTAAAGTTGCTGCTGAACGGAGATGGAGTGCCGTTCGGTTCTGAATCCAAAGACCGATTGAGATACAAGCTCAGATCAGTACGAAGAATTCCTTTAT